CTTCTGCGCGAGGGACCCCCACCGCCTCGGCAGGCTAAGAGCCGCCGCCGCCTCCGAGCTGTGAGGGCTACTATGCTCCCTCTTGGCCGCCGCTTCCCCCTCCCGCTCGCGCAGGCACCCCTCTGGCTGCCCAGTCCCGCCTCAGGTAACGCCAGCGGAGCACGTGAGGCTCCAATCCGGGGCCCGGGCCCGCGCGCGCGGCTGCTACGCCGCCTCGGCTCCGGAGCACAGGCGCTCGGGTGGCTTGACCCCGACAGGACCTCTTGGTTTCCCGGAGGTGTGCCTCTCAGCTCTCGGGGACAGTCCTCTCCTTCCCCTTCCCTTTTCACTTCCCTGAAGGTCCCGGGACCACCCCCGCCCCAGCCCCTCACCCTCACCGCCTCGGAGGCCTGGAACCCATTACAAGTTCCTTCGTATCACGACCTGGTCCTCGACTCCTCTCAGGGACTTTCCTCACTTCAGAGACTCAAGAAATTTCATTTCTTCAGAGAACTGTTTCTGAGACCTCCAACTCCACACGGAGAGCCTCTTCCTCTCAGTGTCCCCTCCTCCCTTACATCTGGTCTCCCGCACTTTGCTTCCCGCAAACAGACTTCCCTCGCCAACATCCACTTCCACCCTCGGAAGGTTCTTCCCCCTCAGACACCACTGCCTCTCTCTTCTCCCCTGTCATCCCCCTTCGCCGCCGCCGCCGCCGCCTCTGCCTTTTACACTCACTTTGAAGACTCTGGGCTACGTCAGTGTTGTTTTATAAACCTTTCAATTTATACCTCCAAGTAAACCTTGCTGACGAACTTGGACTTTATTCTGCAGGCATGGGGAGCCATTGCAGGGTTAGTAAGGAGGAGTTCGGTATGATTGGTTATCTGATGAAAACGCGGAGGAAGAACTGAAAGTGAAGACAGTGTGAGGCAGAAAGCTTAGGTAGGCAGGAAAACGAGTGTGCTAACTGCAGTAATGTAGGAAAACGAAGAGAGGGGATGCAGTTGTATGAAGTTTCAAAACAGAGTTGAGAATTCCCGGGAGGTTTCTGGCTTGGCTGATGGGGTGGATTGGTAGTATTCATTGAAGTGGGGAACATAAGCGATTTTGAGGGAAGGTAATGAATTTGGTTTTGGACAAGTTCAGTTCGAGGTGTTTTTCAGATATTCCTGTGGGTAGCTGGAAATTTTGGTCTGAAAATTGGCAAAAAGGTTAGAACTGAATATATACATTTGAAGGATCAGCAGAGAATATATGGGTGATATCTGAAGCCTTAGTATGGATGGTAATACTGTAAGAAGAGAAGAAAAGGGCTTCGGACCACAAGGAAGATTATTGTTGGGAGGGTAATAGACACTGAGAAGGAAAGGAATGGGACAGGAGCTGGAATAGAATGGCATTATAATAGAAGCCACAGGAGGAAAGAGTTCACGAGGGAGCGGGTAACCATCAGCGTGAGGTGCCCCAGAGATCAAGTAGAATGAGGACTAGGAAGAAGCCGCTGGACTTTGCAATTAGGAAAGCACTTGTTTCCTTTGAAAGACACTTTAGAGACCATGAGGATGGCAATAATAGCAGTAGGTCCGATCATGGTGGATTGAGGAGTAAATGGGAGGCAGTGAGTAAAATTACTCTTTCTTTCTTCTTTTTTTTTTTTTTAAAATTACTCTTTCAACAAGTGTGGTTGTGAAGGAGAGTTGATGGTAGTGAAATTTTATTTCGAATATATTATATTCTAGGCACCATGAAGATGCTTTGTAGATCACACAGCCTTGTGACTTAGGAATCAGTATCCCTCTTATAGTTGGGAAGACTATAGGCAAGAATTTGAACCAGGTCTGCCTAGCTTTGAAACCTGTGTTCTTTCCACTATGGCACATGTGTATTTTTCTTTTTAGTATGGGTGAAACAGTATTGTAAGTTGAGGGGAAATTTACCTGGGAAATATGTTGGACATTTCATTCTTTGACACCAAAAGGATAGAAGTCAAGATGGATAATGATGTGAAGGTAATGATAGATGGGAAAGAAAGTGAGTGGATTTGACAGATGGCCTTATTTTCTTGGTGTGATCAATTATCTGTGAAGTCAGTTTTCTCTGGAGATGGAATGAACTATGGTGAGTTTATGATTTGAGTATTACAGTTATGGCCATGGAAATCTTTTGTGGAAAATGAAAGAGGAATGGATTAAGGAGTTAAAAAACAAAGATTGCTGACCACATTGAGGGCCCAGTTAAAATTAGAAATAATAACCCTAGCCGGTTTGGCTCAGTGGACAGAGCGTCAGCCTGTGGACTGAAGGGTCCCGGGTTCTATTCGGGTCAAGGGCACATGCCTGAGTTGTGGACTCGGTCCCCAGTAGGGGGCCTGCAGGAGGCAGCCGATCAATGATTCTCTCATCATTGGTGTTTCTATCTCTCCCTCTCTCTTTCTCTCTGAAATCAATAAAAAATTTTTTTAAAAAATAAAATTAGAAATAATATATTTGTAATAGGGCACAGTAGCATGGATTTTACACTTGCTCCAGTAGCCTAAGAGTAGGAGGGCAAAAAAGATGGGTTAATCCAGAATTGGAATTTATAAGAAAAAAAAGTAACTTTATACTACTAGTGATAGTACAGGAAATATGATGGGCCTTGAGTGTCCGAGTTGGGATTATAAGAAGTAAAACCTTCAGAGGGGCTGGTGTTCTTAGAGAATAAGGACACAAACAAATGTGTTGAAGACGAGGTTTTCTATGAAATACAGAATGGGAAAGCTAAGAATTCAGTATTTCAAGGTAAAAACAAAAAAAACGGTATAATTGTCTTAGCGCTGTTGAAGGGGAAAGAAGGTATAGTTTATTGAAGTAGTGGGAGGTTAAGGTGCTAAGTATGTTGAACATGTCATCAGTGTGAATGTCAATAGTGACCCAATATGATAGCAGCAAATGGATCAGAGTAGATAATGGGTCCTATAGGTGGGGCTGCTCAGAATGAGGCACTCAGAATTGCATTGGAGTTCCTTGGCACTTGTTAGAAAGTAGTTCTAGGTGGTACAGATGTTTGTATGTGAATTAATGTTGAGATCCTCAGAGAGTTGGTGCCCTGGATGTATGATGTATTATTCTCTTATACAGATGATCTCAAACACAAATCCTTTGCAAGTTGGCATATGATGGGCCTGTTTAATTCTGTTTAGAAGTATATGTTTTGGAAGGCTAGGTTAGGGATTCACCACACAAGGATCCCGAATAACATTTTGTGCTTACATTAATTGTAAATAGAAAATTATGTATTTACATATGCACTCATTCATTGTCTCATTTAGAGTAGAAAGCTGACTTACTTTAATGCTTTTTCCCTATATGAAAGTGTTTATAGATATGTTCTTAGTGTCATACACTTTATTGTTTGCCAGATGAATGTTGTGTTGGAATTTGAAACCTATGATAAGGGCTTTTATGAGAGTTTCGTCTCCTGTCAATGAATGAAGCCCAGTCATCACATTGTATAGTGTAGGTGATAGTCAATGTTTTGGACCAACAATGAGTATTATACTCTTTTCCAAGTCGTCTTATGGAGATGACTTCAGTGTGAACATACGAGTGTAATTTTTTGCTGAGCATTCAGTGGAGTAGTTGTTTCAGAAAAAAAGCCTTGTGATAATTTTAAGTCTTCCATTCCTAAAAATTTCAGAAAGGAAAAGCAATGGAAATCCTAACTATAATCAACCCTTGTTAGCTATATGGTTGTAGGCAAATTTCTTATCTTCTGTGAGCTTTAGTTGTTTTTTAAAAATTTAATCTTTGACTAGATAACACATTCAATTGGTTAATTAAATATTTGTATATTTATGTTTTATGTAAACAGTGAAAGTGTCACTCCTGTGCCTATTCCCCCATCTACCTAGTTCCATGCCCATTCCCAACCACTTTAACTAATTTCTTTATATTCTTTTAGACTTTCTTTAGGCAAATGCTTATTATTTTCATATTTTTTCCATTTTTCATGCAAAAATTAACCCATGGTTCCCCACTGTTCTGTACCTTCTCTCTCCCTAACCCCCAAACTGCTTTTTTCACTTAATATATCTTAGAAATCTTACAGATCAGTATATAGAGAGCTTCTGCTTTAAACAAACAAAAAAACACCTGCATAGTATTCCATTGAGTGAATGTATCATAATTTAACTATTTCTTTATTGTTGGACATTTGTGTTGCTTCTAGCCTTTTGATATTCTAAGCAACTTTATAATGAAGACCCTTGAACAAATGTCATTTTACACATGTGCAGAAGTATTTGTGGGATACATTTGCAAAAAGTGGGACGTCTAAGTAAAAGGACATATAAATTATGAAAAATATTGCCAAGCTGCTTTTCTAGTGATTGTTCTAATATACATTGCCTGTTCACTCAACATTAGCTATATCACAGCTAATAATTATATGGTACTTACTATGGGCCATATACTATTCTAAGTGCTTGATATACATAACCTCATTTAAACTTAGTAACATCCTTTTAGATAGGTACTATTATTTTCTCCACTTTCAGATGAATAATGAGGGGTATAGAGAATTTAAGTGACTTGCCCAAATCACACAGCTAATGTGGCAGAAATTCAAATTAAGCACTCCGGCTCCAGGATCAGTGTTGTTAATATTATGCTTTGCTATTATCAAACTTGAAGTTTTGCCAATCTGACAGAGAAAAATGATACCTCAGAGAAATTTTTTAAAATTACATTAACACATTGTATGCGGGAAACGTATTTATACGTTTTATGTATTTATACGTTCTACCAGTGTAGTAGAGCGCGGGACACGTATTAATATGTTTTTTATAGACTAGCGGTAGAATGCGGGTAATGTATAAATACGTAAACTAAAGTTATCGTAATTTTACTGAACGTTGCCATTTGCGCAAAAAATTAGCAAAAATGGCCCGCGCCACCTGTTAGCGCGCGATAAAAACTGCCCGCAAACAATGTTTAAGGTTAACCATCTTTTTATATTGTTTGAATTACTCATTTTCTTTTTCTGTAAACTGTTTAAACTCTTTACCTATTTTTCTGTGGGGTTTAGGTCTCTTTCCTATTGATTTATAGGCCTCTCTTTATGATATATAAATATCATACATATAAGATAATTTTTTGTCTGTGGGATTGCAAATATTTTTTCATCTTGATATTGTCTTCTGACTTCTTTTATTTTATTCCCATGCAGAACTTTTAGATTTTTACGTAGACAAACTTCTCAATCTTTTTCTTTATACCTTTTGGATTTTGAGTCATAGTTAGAAAGGCCTTCGCCATTTGAATCCTTAGTTTTTTTAATCTACCCAACAGGAGTGAGAAAATTGAATTATTATGAAGGTCAAGGTGCTTTGTCAACTGTAAATCATGATACAGATATAATATGGTGTTATTTATTAATTTGTCTTCTGAACAAGCTGTATAGAGACTGTCATATCTTCTTCTACATTAAATGTAATAGAATGACATATATTTTTTCCCCCACAATGTGGGAAACTAGGGTGGTATTGATCTTTTGGTCAGTGTTTTCATTGGATAATTTGCATGGGATCGTTTTCAAAAGTAGGGACTGTGGAAATCCTGAAGTATTTTTGCATACTTTTGTCTTGTTCTTTGTGTTAGGTATAATTAGAAACTGACTAAAAGTTCTGAAAAATTGTTTTGCTCTTACATTAGCCATGGTTCACTAGTTTTCACATTATTTACAATGTGCATCTCCAAATAAGTCTTATACAATCTTAATATTATCACACTTAACAAAATTAATACTTTTCTACTGTCCTCTAATAGTAATCCTTGTTAAGATTTCCCCAGTTGTCTGTTCTTTTTATTGATTATTTTTTAAGGAAGAGAGAGAGAAAAACATCGACTTGTTATTTCACTTATTTATGCATTCATTAATTGATTCTTGTATGTACCCTCATCAGGGATCAAATCTCCAATCTTGGCTTATCAGGACAATGCTCCAACCAACTGAGCTACCTCCCAGAGCTTCCCACTTGTCCGTTATAACAATTTGTTCAAATTAGTGTCCAATAAAATATCCTTATTGTATTTAATTGTTATAACTCTTAGATTTCCTTTAGAGTCAGACTTTAAACATAAGATTGTGCTTTTCCTATGCTTTTCTTTCCTTGGAAAGAAGAAGCTTTGGCCAGGCCAGCATGGCTCAGTGGTTGAGCGTTGATCTATGAACCAGGAGGTCATATTTCGATTCCCTGTCAGGGCACATGTCCAGGTGGTGGGCTTGATCCTCAGTGTGGGGTGTGCAGGAGGCAGCCAATCAATGATTCTCATCATTGATGTTTCTATTATTCTCTCCCTCTTCCTTCCTCTCTGAAATAAATAAAAATGTATTAAAAAAATAAAAATAAAAATGAAGCTTTTTAACATTCAAAACTTTCCAATAATAGAATGGCTGCTGCCCTGGCCATATGGCTTAGTTGGTACACTGTCGAAAGGTTAGATTCCTGATTTGATTTCTGGTCAGGTGACATGCCCAGGTTGTGGGCTTCATCCCTGGTAGGGGGCATGCAGGAGGCAGCCAGTCGATTGATGTTCTGCTCTCACACTGATGTTTCTGTCTCTCTCTTGCTCTCCCTTCCTCTCTCTCTAAAAATCAATAAAAAATCTTAAAAAAACACAACAAGCTGCTACAGGAATTACTGTGCTCTTTGTAGTGTAGTAAGTGTAGTGGTATAGTAGGCTGAACTCTCTGACTTCCGTAGTGTCCAATCCAGTGATACTTTTCTTCACATTATTTGACTGCTTTGTGGCTTTTGATATAATTGTTCTTCTCATCTTTACTTTGTGTGACATACTTTTTCTTGGTTTATTCTTACCTCTGTTATTTCTTTTTTTGTCCTATGTATGTTGATATATTTCATTGGCCTCTTATTTGATTTCACCTAAGGACATCATGAAGGAGACTACGTTTTGGCATATAGTAGCAACTCAGTAAATATTACTTATTACTCATATTCTCTACTTTGGGGAACTCTTTAGAATATGTGAAAATGCTATTGACTTTCAAGTCTGCATCTCCAGTCTAGTCCTTTCTCCTGAGTTTTAGTGTGGTGTCTCCCAACTTCTTCTTACATGTTGTTACTTGGTTTTTCTTCAGGCACCTCAAACCTCAGAAGATCAGCAAAGAATTTACATCTCTTCACAAATCTTTTCCTTTTGGTCAATGCCTAGTCATTTCCCCAATCAAACCAGAAACATGGGAAGGATTCTAAGTAAACTAGGACTCATCCTAGATACTTCTTGCACCTACTACATCCATTTGCTCACCTCTTAAAAAAATATTTTTTTCATTGATTTCAGAGGAGGGGAGAGAATCTTTGATCAGCTGCCTCCTGCACATAGGTGCTGGGGTCCAACCCCAGCAGGTCCAGGGGTCCCCAAAGGTGTGGACGGAGTCGGCGAAGAAGGAATGAGACGCG